GCAGGCCAGGCTGTTCTTCCATCTGCTCTCTCCGAGGGAAACTGAGTCCAGGCTCGGGGCTCAGAGGTGCTGGAGAGCAGCAATGCCCCAGGCCTTTTCCTTGAACAAAGTAGAGCTGCTCCCCAAGATCACAGCCCAGGGAGCCCCATGGAGCAGGCCTCTGACATGGGGGCCAGGGGGAGGGGTGCCGGAGTCAGAATGGACTCCACTGGGACGCACTAGACACAAAGCCAGAGGTCCCTACCCAGGAGTGCCCGGGTGGGGAGAGTGTTGAGAAGGGAAAAGGAACACACAGCTGCCCTGGGCAAGGGCAAGCGGAGGGCTGGGGCCCCAGGCACAGGCTGGGCAGCACTGGAGTAACACGGTGGCGGAGAGGAAGGACCAGGGCATTCCAGTGCAGCTGAGCTCAGGGGCTCGGCTGCAGAAAACTACCCCCCACCCTGCACTGTCGCATGTGCTGCAGCTCCCACCTCACTGAGTCCTGCCTGCCACTTTTGGAGGCGGGGGACCCCAAGCTCCTCTTCACAGATGGGCAGCGAGGCACAACGAGGTAAAGTAACTTGTTCAGGGTCACACGGTGAGTAAGGGGCATAGCTGGGGTTTGAACCCAGACCATCTGATGCCACAGCCCTGGCTCCAAAAACACAGGTCGTGGGGGAGGAGGCTGCAGTTCTGGGGCTGCAGTGGAGGCCCAGCCAGCGAGGGGGAGGGCTCAGAGTAGGCAGTGGCAGCCACAGAAGTGAAGAGGAGGAGGGAGCAGGCCCAGGAAGGTCAGGGGTCTATGGAGCAAGCCTGGGAGGAGCTGGTCTGGGCAGGGCGGGGCCCTCATTAGCAGGAGGCCCAGCTGGTCGGCTGCTCCAGACCGTGAACTTGGCAAAGGGCAGCCACCCAGGGGCAGAGGTGGCCTGTCCAGGCCGAAGAGGTTCCCAAGGGTGTCCTGGCCTGATCAATGAGGGCAGTCAGGTCGATAAGTGCTCAGCAGGCCCTAGGGACAAGACCCTGCCCCCTCCCCAACAGGGGGACAATAACAGCGGGAACGCAGTGTCAGGCCATGTGCTGAGCGTGTCCCATGACGCCGAGACTGGCGAGGGAGCAGCACGCAGAGGGCTGCATCACCATGGTCCTCTCCACAGCGCCCTGCAGAGGGGCCGTTCGAACCAGCCCCACTTTCCAGAGGAAGAAACTGAGGATCAAAGTCGGTGGAGGGGTTTGCCCAAACTCAGACCCTTGGCTGCATTTTCTGGGACCCTCTCATTGGCGGGTCCCGGGTCCTGGGGGTGGGGGGCCAGTCTGGCAGGTGATCTCCAACCCTCTGCCCAGCCTGTTTCCAGTTTGGTTTCCCAAATAAATGGTGGTGGAACTGGAGCTGGCTGGGGGTAGGGTGGGGATGAAGGCAAAGAACAGAGAGGCCGACTGAGTTCTGCTGGGTCTAGAGCCAGTGAGGAAGTCATTGCCAGCAGGCTGGACAGCTGCCCCAAATGCCTGCACGTTGGTCACTAGGCCCCATCCTAGTGACCACACTGGTGAGTCCAGCCCCGTCTGAAAAGGTCTTTCACCCAGGCTTCCCCCTAGGACGTTGCCCCTGTAAGGCCCTGAAAGCTGTCGCCCTGTGTTGGTGGAGACAGGTTCCAAGCACAGTGCACACGATTGTACCTACCATGTCCCAGTGACAGTGCTCGGTGCAAAGGCTCCAGGAGGAAGCTGCACACAGCGGTCTCTGCTCGCATGGAACCCAGCACTCATTGCCCATTTGCACAC